CACACACTTATACCCCACTGATACCCCTGATACCCCAGTCACACACTTATACCCCACTGCCACCCCTGATACCCCAGTCACCACATTTATAGCCCACTGCCACCCCTGATACCCCAGTCACCACATTTATAGCCCAATGCCACCCCTGATACCCCAGTCACCACATTTATAGCCCAATGCTACCCCTGATACCCCAGTCACACACTTATACCCCTCTGCCACCCCTGATACCCCAGTCACACACTTATACCCCTCTGCCACCCCTGATACCCCAGTCACACACTTATACCCCACTGCCACCCCTGATACCCCAGTCAGCACACTAATACCCCACTGCTACCCCTGATACCTCAGTCTGCACACTTACAAATGATACCTGATTGCCCCTTTGATACCCTGACCATCACACTAAAACCAAATTACAAATTCTTGATGGATCTGTGGGAATTTTGTTAGAACTCAAGAAGAAAATGTGAAAGTAACTTTGGATTAAAGTGTAGAACGTTCTATAAATATTTTATAGTTTAAATCTTGGTATGAAAGGTGTTTTTGTGCCTCTTCATTTTAATAGCCTCAGCATCCCCTGCAAAGCCACAGCCCCCAGTGTGACAGCATAAGAATGGACAGCGAATCAGAGATGCACCCGTATGTGGAACAGCCTGGTCTTGCTGGTTGTTCCACTGATAGTGGTGACGAGGGGTGTTGGAGGGCCACGGACCCCATGAGAGATTAATAGATTAAGGGGGCCCTGTACTTTGCACCCCCAAGCTACTGCCAAACCCACACAGCTGTAGCAGCCTCCATTAGCTCATGGAGATGCTGGATCCTCCTCTGGTGTTGGGTTTCCTTCAATGAATCCAGCATTTCCTCACCTTCACTATCTATGGATGTGGTATGAGTAGATTTGATGTATCTCCTTCCCCCCCCCCCAATGGAATTTTTTTTATCAGTCATTGCATTGAGCTGATTAAGGCGGCAGTCTTATGCACGCCAACTCGGCTCCCGCCCCCCCCCCCCCCCGTAGCCCCAAGTGCGCCTGAAGCGAATCTCCCCGAAGAGCCGTAAAGGGGAAAAACAGGATGCTTGCTGGGCTCCAGCACGCGGCCCATCCCTGCTCCACCAGCCTCCTTTGGTTCCCCAGAGTGGAGATAAACTGGGAATTTGCATGAGTCGATAGAATACATTTCACCGATAAGTCCTGGCATTTAAAGAAGGATTTCCCAGTCAAGGCTGGGGGCCTTCGCTGCCCCCCAAGGGGGAAACTTGACTGGTTAAGATTCATGAATACATACATACAAGGCACTTACATATGGATATACTGGCACACACAAGCACTGGACACACACACACACACACACAGACCTATACTCATATCTTTGTGGGGACCGTCCATTCTTTTCTATGGGCAAAACCCTAATCCCAACAATGACAACCTTAACCCCTACCCAGCCCTAACCTTAACCATGAGTAACCAAACAAAATACAAGTGTTTTGCCATTTTTAGTTTTTTGATTGCTGTCAGAGATTATTATAAAGTTGAGTTTCCCCTTGCTGAGACATTCGGTCCCCACAATGTAATGTATACCTGAACTACACACACACGCACACACAAACACACAGACACACAGACTCTGTGGGCAAGGCAGCCTAAAATCATATGATCAGAATTGATTCTTTTTATCCGTTATACCTGATTCCAGCATTCAGTGCTTTCTGCATTTCAGAGGGTGTTTTTTTTTCGCAACGTATTTCACTCCTTCCATCTCTGTGGAGATGGTTCCATCCTCTTTGCATACATTTTGCATCTGACATCAATCCTGTTCTTACCTGCTACTTACTACCCCTAAAATAAGCCGTTTGCTGACACAGGTCCGTGTTACACAGGTGTGCTGTGTACACATATGAATTCGACACATCCAATTACACACATGTACACATCCAGGCACACACATGCATAGGGGGATGTGCAACAACACGCATAAGTGACATGCTTGTACACACAGGAGATGTGAGTAGAGCCCCTTGGACATTGCTGGGACTGAAGCGTGATCCTTAGCGACGCTTCCGTAGCAACCAAGAGACGACTCGGAGCACATTTATCAAAATAAACTCATCACGCCACACGGTAAGTGAGACCCATTTGTTAGCCTGGAGATGAGGCCACAATGGGTGGGCGGAGCAAAGATAGCACAGTGCGGAGACCTGCTGGAGACATTAACGAGGGGGACCGGCAGGGCGACGCGGCCGGCGAGATTTACAAACCAGATAATGTCCTCAGAACCTTACGGCTCCCCAGGAGCCAGTTTTCCTTAACCAATCAGGCGACCTCCTGCCGGATGACATCAGAGCAGAGCCAGGAGACCCAGAGGTTTGTGGGATTAGGGCTGTTTTAATCGTTCTCAGATCGTTCCTTTTTAAGATTTCACTACCACTGCAACTCCTCCTCAACTGAACTATATTAAATAATTTATGACACCTGAAATTACCATTACGCTGCCATTACATTTTGCATTATCAATACAATTTATGGAGATATATAAAAATCATAATTTTAAGCAACCGAGGTGGATGATCCAGGATTTTACATAGAATCTGTACAATGACATTATAATTTCAGAGATTTATGATTCCCATGCACCTATACAAATATGGCATACAGTGCTATACAGTGCTATACCACATAAAGAGTGATCATGAAATGTTTTAAAACTTAACAGAAATACAGCGATGGACTGTTACAGGGTTAAACAAAACCTTGTCTTCGAAGATTTCCAAATATTTGCTACATAAAATATACCATTGTCTGGTTAATAGTTTCACCATAGAGTCACCACTGCTGAACCAAATAAAGCTTGACGTGGATTTTCATATTTTCCTAGCAGGATTACTGTCATTTTCCTATATAAAGATCAGCCAGGGAGCAGAACAAGATGTCTACAAGTCCGGATGGGCCTATTAGAGTCTGTCACTGATAAAGGCCACATTCTTGCGGATTTTCTCGCGTAAGTAGTAAAACACACCGGAAAACGAGCCCACGAACACGGAAATGCAGAGACACGTGTCGGGTCTTCGGCTCGCTTCCTGTTAAGCGCATGGTGGCTTCATCTCCGCGCCTCGGACTCAAGCCAGAGATAAACTCATCCTGAGCAGACGCAGAAAGGGATCCTTTTTCACACTTTTAATGTTGTTTAAGTTTCCCTCTGACTCTTCAGGCCAGCTTGCTGCTCCTCCATCAACTTTGGGGGCTGTAAGCAAAGCAAGGGTAATATCACTGATACCTAAGCGTGGTCAGATCCGGCATGGAACAGTCCTGCCCTGCACATTAAGAACTAAACGGATAGACCCCCCCCCTCCCCCCACCTTCACTGCTCGATCCCGGCGGTGGTTTAAATTACGATAACAAACGCACGGAACGGATGGAGCGTTAAACCTCCACAGCCCTTCTCTGCATGGCTGGTCATTGAAAGCTTCCCGGGATTAGAGGAATTAGGTCAGCAGTTGAAAATGCTTTTAGGAGAATCCGGACATTTGCCGAAGAAGCCCAGGGACCCCGTGGCTAATTACCCCATGACTCGTCTCGTGAAAAACATATTTATCCGTGCACCCAAACAAGGCAGCCGTCGGGCCCCGGGATGCGGGTGAGAGGCCGCCTTTGTAGCGTCTGAGGCTGAGGCGGAGCGAACGAGGCGCCCACATGGTGTCATTTATTTGGTAAACAGAGCTGGCGGATTTCCTGCCGGTGAGTTACGGCCTCATTAAGGGCGTCGGCACGGGAGCGTCGTGGCCGCCACTGACGGGGGGGGGGGGCAGCCAGCGAGAGAGGCCCACGGAGGAGACTGGGGTTTTCACAAGTTGCCGTGCGACACACTCTCCAAACGTTTAGACGCGTTCTGTTTGTTTAACGTGGACTCGGGCTTTGAGCTTCCCAGCTACCCCCCCCACACACACCATTTCCTGCGGGCCACAAACTGCCCAGTGAAGTTTAATAAAGAGCCACAAAAGAACGCAAACAGGGTTTCCTCGGAAAAGCGTGGCCTCGTCCGGTTGGGAGAGAAATAAAAGTAAATACATGGAAGGCTGCAGCAGAAGACAGCACCTGGAGATAGAGCCACAGTCACTGGTCAGAAATTATACATGAAAAGGGACATAAATAAAATACAGCTTAAAATATATCAAATGTATAATTACATCCCCTGACCATGAACTGAATAAATTGGTGGGTTTTGTTGCTTTTGTCATCGGATTAAACAAGGAAGAAACAATTGTATTTGCTTGTTTTTAAATGTGGGAATGTGGTTCAAAGTTACGTTATTTCTCCTTTGTATATGGTTATTTGTGAATACTGTCTTCTGCACTGCTTGCTTTGTTTCAAGCACTCACTGGCACTCGCTGTTTCAAGAATTCACTGGAAAGGCCAAAGAGGTGATTTCCAGTTTCAAACCAGAGGACCTACAGTTCAGACACCTTTTCAGTAAATTTTGCCTGACTGACACTCTGACAATCTTTCGTCACATTGTTGCAATCGACTTTAGGGATCACTTGTAATTTTAAAATATTGTTGTTAATCACAACAATAACCATTGTGATAATAATTATCCTGACATCATAAAAGTAACACACTGCTAAATAAGTAATACGATTATCATAACAACCTGTTCTTCATAGTTTTCTACATAATTCAGAGATACATTTTATTATTTTATTGCCTTTTGTATTAAGTTTATTAGGATAAGGTTTTTAATTAAAGAATTTCATCCTTTATTGTTTAAATGTAAAAGATATTTTATATGAACCAACTTCAGTTTTAGTATAGTCACAATAAAAGTAAAATTTGTTCAATAAATTATCAAATAAAATTTTTCCAATAATAATTACATGCGCATTATAATTTACGCGTGAAGCGCTCAGTGACAGAACCGCAGACGGAGAAAAACTCAAGACTCATTAAGACGTTAAAGCAGAAAATCGCGCTCGGGGCGTATAATCCTCAAGTCGAAGTCAGGTCGCCCCCCAGAGGCCGAAGGAGAGAGTGCATCGCTCTGAACTTCATTTGGCCATTACTGCCTCACGATGTTTGAACTATTAATGGTGCGCGTACCTATCGGAGTGCAGCTGTTCTGATGGCTTCCTTCTCAGAAATGTATTTTGCGGGCCCGGCAGGATCGACCTGGAGCGAGTTAAAATAGCCCTTCTGCGGTGAGTATCAGAGGCGGACGGCTGCACACGGGTGACCGGGTAGCCGTGACGAGAAGCGCACATCTGCTTTAGTCTTCATCCCCGGGATGAAATTCCCGTCGTGAGCCGCTTGCACCAACCCCGTTGATACACATCCAATAACAGTTGGAAAAAGCCCTAATTTTTATCGTCTATGTAATTTATATCAACGGAGGTGTCACGTGGGATTTACACCTCTCCGAATTAACGCGCGAATGCATGCATTGCTTGTAAAATGATTGATTATCAGCACAGATGAAACACACCAGTGTAGAAGGCCTTTTGAGAGAGCAGGCAGGGTGTCTAAGTTATTGTGTAGAATTCCCCCCCCCCAACCCCAGCCTGGGTCAGGTTTTCCTATTTAGCCATTTGGGCGATGAGGCATTTGTTGGGTTTCCACTCAATGTAGATAAATGGGATCGTGGACCATTTGCGAGGTGCTCCCAGCTCTGATCTGAAGGACCTTAAACAATTAGACCACAGGCAGTGGTGCTTTGGGGTGGCCATGGAAATGGGGGGGACGTGTAAACACTGGCAACCAGTGACCCCTGTATGCAGTGCTGGGGGGGCGGGGGGGGGGGCAGAATGACCTCACGCTTCTGCAGCACATTTCGGCTGATGGATGGAGGAGCTGATGAGTGCAGCAGGCCCTGGGATTTGGCTCCGGCAAACCCACTGATGCAGGAGGTCTGGAGTGGGTCTCCGTGCCGCCAGAGTGGCCCACAGTGCCCCCAAAACCAGTGACATGCATGACATTATTATTTACATTAACGCCACCCTGCTGTTCTAAATGGGTAGTCATGGAAGATAAGAGACTAATAGCAGTAGTAGCATATGTTGTAACATAATTATTTAAATTCATTGGTCATTTTTAAATACCGCTACATTTTTTTAGAGGTTTTGAAATTAAAAGTAGATAGATTGCACTGTGTTGATGATGATGACGTGCATGATTATGACAGCCACGATTGCACTGGTAAGATTACTAGATAAATTTTAAATTTTAATAAGGATGCATTTCTTTGATAACAAATGAGAGAGTGACAGTAAGGCAACCCTCACTCCAGACAGAAGTTTGGCAAATACACTCCCCAAAAAGTCTGTTACCTTTATGCTGGTGATCATAAGGCGTACGTGACTTTTATTTCCTGGAAAGGCGGCAACTGGGGCAGCTGCATTGTTCAGCTTCAGTCATGAAACGTTTAATCGCTTGGTCTGCGTTGACGGTCTGCATCTCGGCCCTGTGCGTGGTCACCACCATCAGCACAAAACACCCACAAAATGGAACTTGTTTCTCTTCAAATTTCATATCAGTTTCTTTTAAAGTTATGACATAAGTCGAGGCTTTTTTCATTTAAATCATTTCCTCTTCATTTTAGTAGACAATGGTCTCCGTTGCAATTAAGGACTTTTGTTGGTTACACTGAAAAATTGTCATTGCTCAGAAAAAGGATTCTGTAACTATTTGTGTCATCACCCAAGAAAGGGCTGCTTGCACAGAGAAGGTGTAAGAAAAACGGTATTTAAATAGCGAGAAGACCTTGCAGTCTGTCTTCAGCTGGTGATCATTACGGACTATCAGGTCCAGTTTGGCTAAATCTAGTTCCTATTACCTGTTTATTTTCATAATGTACTGGTAAGCCGCACTAATTATTCAAAAATGCATTATTTATTGATAAGTATTTCTATGACATTATTTGCCAATCGGATGAGGTTTAGCCTACCCGGGGGCTAGTCATTAAGTTGGAATGAAGGTTAAAGGTCAGCTGGTTATGTCTTTGCAGCAAGGTTTGTGTCAGCTCCCTGGAGTGAACCTCATTCCATGCGCTGCGTCAGAGCCGAGCAGGGGAATGTCCTGTCGTCAGGATCAGGGACACGGGCCTCACAGGCTGTCCGTAAGAGAACGTGACGGCCCCTCCCACACGCCTTTATAAGCCAAGTCCAAATGCTGAGGTATTAGAAGCAGAATTTCTTTTGCAGGACACTGCGGTAGTGAGACGGCGCGGGAACATTTCGCTGTCATGTGACTTAACGGGAACGAGCGTTACAGGTCAAGTTTATTACGATGATGTAAATAACTCAGATTACACCAGTTTTCAAAGTACTATCCACATGACAAATGACTGTAATGTGATGATAAGAGAACACACAAAATATAGGTTATTAAGCCATCCAACCATTTTTCCAACTACTTTTCTGCTTTCATGGTAGTGGGGAGAATGTAGTTATACGTTGAGTATATGCACTGTTACACTTAGCTTTGTTTGTGTATGGATAAGCTTATATGGGTGTATATATATATGAATAAAGTGTAAAAAAAATAC